ATGATGGAGATTATTCCATTGACGATATATTATCTTTAATTATTCTTAATTCTCGCAGCCTCCGGGCAATCAGTCTGTTCAATTTTAGCATAAACAATCTGTCTATTTTAATGGAATCATGTCAAAATCTTTATCATCTTGACATATATATCGAAAATTTAGATGATCTATTTTTTGATATTCTGGCAAGAGAGCTTCGACCTACAATTAAATCTCTCAGACTGTTCCTTCCAACAAATCGGTTATATCGAATATTAGATGAGCCATTTATTCATTTTCTGGAAATTACTCATCACCACTTAGAATACCTTTTCCTTCCCTATGCTTTCAAGGAATCTTATAAAAGGTTGATCGAGAGCTATGGCATCAAGCCAGAAGATTTATTGATATATAATAGTATGTATTTGTTTATTAATTTTCTTATTTTTCTATTGTAATTTAATCTGATTTATTTTTCTCCTTATTATATAGAAGTATATCCAAATTATTTTATAGAAGACTACTGAGCGGCTTTGAGTGTTTACAGTAATTGATTCTTTATTAAGCATATACATACAGTTAGATTGAATTGGTAAAAGAGAAACAAACTTTTTCTCAATACATTAACAAACGTATATACATGTATAATCTTATCTGAAAATTTGTCACACATTACCGATGTCGATATACATGTACATGTATAATCTTTTAGAATTACTATCGCTATATTTACTTGTTAATTGAAAAGTATAGCTGTCAATAAGTATATTTTACGTATTCCAAATATCTCGCATATACTTTATAATCAATCAATCATATCAATTGTATTTGCTAACACTAATACGCATTTTACAAAATAATACATGTATCAAGTTTAAATTTTCATTTGAAGATTGCCAGTATAGATTTTGTCACTGAATTTTTGTTGGAAGCACCATTGCTAGTATAAGAAACGAACATTCAACAAACTTAGCAATATTATAAAAGATCTTATGTAAGTCTCTTTGTGCCAATAAAATTAATCAACTACGAATTTAATGAAATTAAAATTATATCTCAGAAGGAACCAGAAAAATCTTCATTCTCAGCAAATTTATAACTGATTAATATATAGTCAAATTCCTCTATATTCACCACCCTTGGAAAAGCAAAATTGGGTGACTATAGAAAGGATGTGATTATAGAGTAATTTCTTTTATTATATTTATAAATATAAAAGCGAAATAGAATAAATATGAAGAGATGCAATTATAAATAGGTATAATTATAATATAGTTTAACTATATATCTCTCTTTTTTTTGGTTTTCAAATGACTTTTATATTATTTTTTATTAATAAATACAATATAAAAAGTAATATAGTAATTAACTAGATTTATTTTAATTGAAATTTGATTTATAAGAAACTTCTAAAACTTATAAAAGTAATAACTTATTATTATATTAAATAATAATATCTTCATGAAAAAGCCACAAATTTTAATAATCAAACATGAAAAATTAATAAAAATAATTTATTAAATATAAATTATAACTTTACTTATAATATTATTTATTTTTATAATTTTATTTAATAACTCTATTTACTTTTTAATTTACAACTTCTTTAGTTACAATTTTATTTATAATTATATTATTAATTATTATTTAATTAGAATTTTTATAAAAATTGTATTAATTCAAAAATATATAAATAAAAATAATATTTGAGTTTTGATTATAGCTTTTTATAAGTTAATTTATAAGTTAAAATATTTATTTGTTATTTCTATATTTGAATTATAAGCTAAATTATAAGAATTTTTAGTTTTAATATTGTTAAACTTGAAAAATAATAATATAAATAAAAATATTTTTTAATATTTCATTTTTTACTTATAATTATAAATTTAAAGCTTATATACAAGTAACTTTAAATTAAATTAAACTTATTAAAATATTGTTTTTGAAATTATTAGACAAGTATTTTTATTATTAACTAGTTATTTGATATCTTTTATAATTATATATTAAATATAATATTTTTATTTTATAAAAAATATATAATAAATAAATTTTTATTATTATATTTTTAATAACTAAAAAATATTTGATATTATAAAAATTTTAAAATATATTTATTTTTATTTTTTTAAAAAAACTTATTCTTATATTTTTATTTTTTCTTTAAATTATAATAATTTTAATAAAATTTAAATATCTTTTTATTATTATTTTTTTATTTCTAATTTTATTTAAGTTTATAAACTAATTTTTTAATCAATAAACAAATTTATAATATTTTAGTATTTATTTTAATTAAATTTTATCTTTATATTTAAATATATAAAAATTATTATTTTATTAAAAATTCAGTAATTATTATTTTAAAGAATATAATTAAAACCAAATTCAAAATATAAAATAATTATTAATTTTTTTAAATTATTTTCTTTGTTATTTATTAAGAAATAATAATAGAAACTTTAATTCTTACCTATTATTATCTATTTACTAAAGTTATTAATTATATAAATTTTTGTATATTTTAATATATTTTATATAAAAATTTTTAATTTATTAGTTCAGCTATTTATTAAAATCTTTAAACTAATTAATTATTAAATTTATAAAGTTAACTAGCTAATTAATTAGTTATTAAATAATTTTAATTATTAATTTTTGTTATAATTTAACAAATTAATTAAGTAATTATTATTTATATAATAATTTGAATAAAATTATACAATATTATATTTCAAAATAAAAAATCTATTGTTTGCAATAAAGTATAAAGAAGATCCTAATATGTCTAATAGTTATTATTTTTAATAATCAATAATATCAAAACTATAGAAGACCAACTAATAATTTCTGAAGAAATAATAAAAAACAACAAAATATTAACTTTCAAGAACAATTAATTATACAAACAGATACTAAAAAAATTTGATAATATATTATATTTAAATTAAATATTTCAAATTAAAATAAGTTTTCTTTTTCAAAAAATCAAAATTAATTCAGTAACTTTAAATATAATATCTTATAAATTATTATTAAATTCACCAAAATTAGACAAATTTAATAATAATATATTTGGAAATAATATATTTATTTTAAGTTTGAACAAAAAAATTTAAAAAATCAATTCATTTTGAAATGTAATATTTTATAATTTGCTAATTTAATTCAGACAAAAATATTACTATTTAATTTATTAAGACTAAACAAATTGAATATTGATATTTTTGTTCAAATTAGATTAGTAAATTGTGAAATATTATATTTCAAAGTTACTGGATTTTTAATTAGAATTTTATTAAACTTTAATTCAGAAATTTGTTAACAAAACTTGTAATTTTCCAGAACTAAAAAATTGAACTTTTTTTTGATTATTTTACAGAATTTGTATTGAAGTTTTGTATTTTTTACAAAGTTAAACAATAACAAAATAAACTTGAGACTCTTTAACAAATTGAAAACATTAATAAATATATTAATTAGTTTAATACTTTTTTAAAAAAATAGATTTTATTAATACCTATCCTGATAATTATAAAACTAGAATATATAAATAAAATCTGAAATCTGAAATATACAAATAAATTAAAATAAATATTGATAAAATACTATCAAATATTATTAATATGAATAAAACTAACTACAATATATTATCAAATTCAAAATAAATTAATATCTAATTTTATTCAGCTTATAATTATATTTCAAAATTTTTCTAATATATTAAAAATTCTAGAAGTAGAGTTTTAAAAAAATGTTTGATTTAGTTCAAGTTTAATTTAGTTTGAGCTTGAACTGAATTCAAATCTGATTAAAAGTTTGATTTAAAAATTTGAATCTAATTAAAATTCTGATTTGAATTTGATTCAATCTTCAAACCTAATTTGAATCTGTTAAAAAGTTCAATTGAATTCAAGTAAATATTTATTAATTTTCTAAGTAAAGTTATAAATCTTAATATAAGCTACAAATTAATATAAGATAGTTAATATTTAGGATGAATATTTAAGAAGTTATATAAATTTAAAAAATAATTTTAATTTGCTTTAGTTTTAGTATAATAAATATTTATTTTGTTATAGTAATTATAAGTTATAATTATAAGTAAAATTATAGTCAAAAATAAAAGTTACAAATTAATATAAAATAATTATTATTAATAATAATTATTTGAAGTTATATAATATTTATGATCAAATTTAATAAATATAAAAATAAAAATACTTTAATTCTTCCTAAATACTATAATTTGTACTTATAAATAAAGTTATAACTTATATTTAGAGTTATAAATCAATATATAATACTATATATTGATTTTTAATCAAACTTAAATACATATAATAATTTAATTTGAGTTCAGTTTGAATTTTGAATTTTTTAAACTCGAATTTAGACAAAAATCCAGTTTAGTTCAGTTTAGTTTATAAGAATATTATCTAGAAGTATTGAAAAATCTACTTCCAACCAAGAAGTAATAATTAAAACTATTCTTATAATAATAGTTATTAGCTATCTATTTGTTATAATAATAAGATTGAATATTTATCAAGAAATTGTAATAAATCTTATAATTAAGAATGATTGCCAAAATAACATTATCTAATTAAATAATTTGCCAAAATTAACTTGCTAAAATTAAATCTGAAATTATTTTGACTTATTTTATTAGTAGCTAAAATTATTTTCTGAAATTATTTGAATTTTACAAATCAAAACAAGCATTTCTAGATAGTTTTTAAATATTTATTAATATAAGCAATATAGCAAAACTGAATTATTTGCTGAAATATCATTTTTTTCAAAAATAATTTAGGAGATCATTTTTACTTATAATACCAACTCTTATTGATAAAATACTATCAGAAATTAGCCAAATTGAAGTAATTAGAATACATAACCAAATAATAATAGCAATATTTCAGCAAGAAATAATTTTTTTCTATTTAAATACTAGTAATAACAATCAAATTAATATTTTAACTACTAATAGTTATATTACAAGCATTAACTTTTGTTCAAAAAATTATTATACCAACTTTATTCTATAAAAATCAAATTATTTTTGATTCAGAAAATTTCTGGAATTTTTTTGTTTTTGAATATTCACTCAGATCTGAAAATTTAATGATTTTGTTAACAAATTTTTGGAAAAACTTCCAATATTTTCTGGAATATAATTTGATATTTATAAAAAAAAATCCATTTAAATTTCACTTATATTCTAACTTTTTAGAAATATAATTAGAATTTGAATGAATCTTTTTTTATTTTTATGAAATACAGTCAGAATATTAGTGGAATTTGAATAGATCTTTTTTTATTTTTCTGGAATATAGTCAGAATACAAGAAAAATTAAACAAATCTTTTTTTGGATATAAAAATTATATTTATTATTATAATTATAATATGTCTAAATATTTTATATTTATATATCTAAATATTCTATATATAAATGCTCTTATATTAATCAGAATTAATAGTAAAGGAGAAATGTCAGAATTGTAGTGAGAATTATCAGAATTGTAATAGTGAAATATCAGAATTAGTAGTAAGGAATGTCAGAATTAATGTTAGAGAAGAAATTTCAGAATTGTAGTGGAGGAATATCAGAATTATAATGGAGAAATGTCAGAATTATAATGGAGAAATATCAGAATTGTAGTGGAGGAATGTCAGAATTAATATTAAAGAAGGGATTTCAGAATTGTAATGGAAGAATGTTGAAGTGTTTGAGTTAAATAAAAAAGAGTCAGAATATCGAATAAAAAAAGAAGTAGTGGTAGGAATAGATTTGTCAGAACAAAACTCGAGCAAAACTGACAGAAACCTGCCATTTCCGGATCCAATCCTTCACCCTCATTACCATCATTGTTTGTAGCAGCATTTTTCTCTTTAGATTTCTTGGCCCTTTTCGGTTCTGTTTCTCCTCCTCTTCTTGCTGACGCATTTGTTCGACACTCGCCTCGAAATCATATTCTTGTGGTTTCTCTTCTTTTTGTTTTTTAGACGAGACGAGCCAGTCGTTTTGTACTTGATCCAATGTATTACGCTCTACTTTCATGGTTCGGTCTAGTGCTCTTTGATCTTTATGAAAAGGGATAAAAAATTAAGTATTGTCATCAACCAATCTTTTATGTCCCTATTCTCACTACCAAGTACAAGAACATTATAAACGAAAATACACATAAAATAAGCTCACATGCATGGAACAAATAAGCCCGTTTTCCATTAATGTGATCCAAATAATTGACGCTATCCTTCACCACACAATCGCACACTTTACAATATTTTCGAGGCAATACTAGTGCTTTGAACCATCTGAGTCCTATTTAAGTTAGTATCGAGCACAACTTTATCTGTGCGCGCCGTAAGCAAATCACGAAGTCCCTATTCATCCAAAACATCGTCAGCTGGTTTAGAGTTTTAGACCTTTACTTTTTCGCTCTTCCTCCTCTTCTAGTTGTTGTTCACGACGAGCACGATCTCGTGTACACTGTTCGTATTCTTGTTTGTCCCAGGTACGGCGAAAGCTTGTGTCGTGCTGTTGTTGAAAGTGATAAAGGTTAGAAGAATGGAAAAGAGATGAAAAAGAAAAAAGTTAATTTAATGATGGTTACCGACTGACTCCTTTCTTTTGCGACATTTGTATAATTTTCTAGTGCTCTGCGTTTGGAATAACTTCGTGCATTTACTACAATCATGAGTATTGTGATCCGAACACTTATTGTAGTAATCCCGTACCCGATAAAAAACACTCACTATAATGATTTGTAAAATCATTGTTTTATTTAACGTGGAAGTTAATTTCTGCGTCAAGTACTGATTGTGTGATTAGAACTTCTATTTTATTGTTGTTATCATTATGTTAAAAAAGCACTTATCTAGTGTAAAAGTGCTCCAATGATTCTCGATACATAATAATTATCGTTGTATCAGGCACAAGATTATTGCCATCAGGAATTTTTTAGTGCAACTTGCGGCGAACCAATTAGAAATTCAATATCGAGTTACGTGATTTTTTTAAATGGTAAGTACATAATGATAATAATGAATAATTTAGATTTCCATTTTTTTTTTCATTATAATTATTGCTTTTGCTTTGTCTTATTTTCGGGTGAAGGAGGAATTGTACTTGTTGACTCCAAACGACGTTTTCGGGTTGGGAAAGGATGAAGATATTGGTGAACCCTATAAGAAAAATTGGTATGGAATAACCTGTAAATCACGTGTAAAATAGCATGCAAATAAGCTGCAAATGGTTCGTAAAACACCTGTAAAATATATGTAGAACACCTGTAAACACCTGAATTTCCCAAATAATCACGCAAAAATTTTACGGGCCTGAAAGCACGTAAAACACCCGCAAAACACGACACTTTACGTTGGTGATAGCACGTAAATTTTACGGGATTACGTGGAAAATACAGGTTATATCCCGTGTGTTTTCCGTGTAATTACATGAGATTAAGCATGTAAATGACGTGTGAACTGTGACAATTTACGCTGGAATTACGTGCAATTTCGCACCATATCACGTGTGTTTCCATATTTTTCTCATCCCATTTCAGATATTTTACGGACATTTCTAGTATCAATAATATGATATTTACATGAGTCTACTTTATTTTTACATGAGGTTTACATATTTTTTTCTAGACTTTTTACATGATTAGACAAACGACATCATTATATTGACTGATCTGGTTCTATTTCATCTTGTTGCGTGTTCTCCTGCTGGGCAGGTCAGAAAATGCAGGTTCTTTCCCTTTTCATTTTTTGCTCGTTTGTTTTAAGATTTCAATTTCCGATTCATCGATCGGTACTGTCATCATTGATTAAAAAAAGATATCAGTGAGACGAGATAATAAAAAAAATTGAGTTGCAATATCCACCTGCAAGATCTTTCTCTTTTTGTTGTTTGCTCGTTTGTTTCAAGATTTCAATTTCTGATTCATCGCTTAATACTGTCATCACTGATTAAAGATATTAGTGATATAAGATAATAAAAAAAAATCGAATTGCAATACTCACCTGCAGGTTCTTCCCCTTTTTGTTGTTTACTCATTTGTTTCAAGATTTCATTGCTTGGTACTGCCGTCATTAATTAAAAAAAGATAATATCAATGACAAATCAGATTGCAATACCAACCTGCATTTTCTTTTTTCTTATTTGTTTCATCAAAACTTCAATTTCAGATTCATCACTTGATACTGTCATTGTGGAGGCTGTATCGTCATGTAATAATGCAAAAATACCACAAATAATGAGATCTCAAATAAGGAAAATGTGGGTTAAGTGGCATATAGTTTGAGGAGAAAATTTACTGACTGATTTTTCTACCCGTTTAGTCTTGAGCTTATTTTTTCGCTTATAATATGAGCCTGTATGTAAATTGGACAATACCTACTATAAATAGTGTAGTGTGACACTTACTTTGATCCTGAAGTTTTTGTTTTAAAGCTTCACGAAAAACCCATTCTTGGAAACCAAAATTTTCTTCATACTGACTCTTTGCCTAGCAAGAAGAGTTATTTTTTTCTGAAAAAGAAAAAATAAAAGTTTATATTAACTGCTTCAATCCAGTTTTCAGCAAGAACTGTTTCAAGAGTTCTATAGGTTGTGTGGAGGAATTTTGCTTTTTCTTATGAGATCACCAAAATAAGTTTTTACATGACAAACTTGCTCTTCTTTTTTGTTGAGACTAAATGTGGTATTGATAGATATTTTTAACTTTTCAAGTGGCTTCTCAATTGATTGGATACATGTTGGATTAACTTTTTGTATAAGCTTCATACATTTTTCTTGCTGTTCACAAAGTTTTCCTCACAATTCTTTTAACTCTTCTATTAAAGAGTCATTATCAATTTGCAAAGTGAACATTAAAGAGTCTTTTATAATGAAAAATACTAGATTTAATATTGTTTATATAAAAGATAATTTGTTTACAAATATATGATATGCACAGGATTATAAACAAGAAATCATTATAATAGGTATAATATATATGTGATTATAAATAAGAAAATCACCATGGGTAACTGAAAATTGTCACAGCAACTGAATTAAAGTTTGCTCACACTTTTTTTTTGCTTACTTCTGGTATTGGAAAAATTTATAAGTTAAAAAACAATCATGACTCTATACGTATTCAATTTATAGTATTCACTCAAATTGTTGGTGCTACTAAAGAAGAGAATTACCAATAGTAACAAATATTTAATAATTAATTAATTTGTATAAAGAAAGAAACAGTATATTTTTCACTAATTGAATAATTAGTTAATAAATATGAACAAGAATTGGAAGATAATTAAACAAATATAAGAAAAATATGAAAATAATATCTAAGTTCTATACTAATTTTTACTAAAATTGTTATTGTTTGAGAGGGAAAAAGAATAAGATAATAGTATTTCAATTAGGTATAGTGTTCTGAATAATTGTACTAACTAATTAATTTATGAATTATTTAATTAAAGTGACTAACAAATTTTAACTAACTAATTAAAATATTAAAAATAACAAAAATAATGAAGACTTTTTCACTTGTTCTTCTCACAAAAAAGAGATTATGATGTCTTTAGTTGAGGAATTCTAAATAATTTAATTATAACAAAAATATCAAAAGATTAGTCTATAACAAAATATTAATTCAATAATTCAATATTAACATTTTAATCAGTTCAATATAGTTTCAAAGCTACTTGTTCACAAGATTTGAAGTGTACTTTTGAGAGGGGAATGCAAATTGTTTAAGTGTTAAAAGGTATTTGTTTTATTATGTTATTTATTCTCAAGTTCTGATATATCAAGTTAGAGCTTAACTATAATTTATATTTATATATTTTCTTCAAAATATTAATATAATATTCAAAACAAGAAAAAGATATAAAAGATAATTATACTAACTAAAATAGAATTCCAATTTACTAAATATGAAAAGTAAAGAAATAAAGAAGAAAAAGTATAAATCTCAAAGAATTTTGATTGGTTAACTTATATCTACTCAGGATAAATAAGTATAAAAATATAAAAAGTATAAATATATAAAAGTATAAAAAGTATAAGAATATGAAGTAGAAAAAGTATAAAAAATATAAAAAATATAAGAGTATGAAGTATAAAAAGTATAAGAATACAAGGTAAAAAAAATATAAAAAATATAAAAAGCATAAGAGTAAAAAGTAAAAAAAATAAAAGTAAACAAATACTATAATTAATAATATATAAGAAAATTGTGAAATATTCTAAATTTTTTACATGATTTTCATAATTTCATGAAATATTACAAATTATGGAATTAATAAATTTTATAATATAATTATAACATTTGTATTCTCTTTAAAAATTGAGCTTCTACGTAATTATTGTGTAAAGTTCTTGATTTTTCAATTTCTCATTCGATATATTTTTATTTGTATTAATTGTAATTTGAAATTCTTCTGATCTATTTCTTCTTCAGAAGAAAATATTTAATATATTCTTCTAGTAATCATATAGTGATAGTCATAAGATTGAAGTCTAAGTTCTTTATTAATTTTTCTTTTAATTACTAATAATTGTCTTTAATAATGTTAATCAATAATTGTTCAACTTTAAGATATTGCTTTAATATTTTGCTATTACTCATTTGTCTTTTTAAAATCTTTTCGAGTTGTTCTTTTAATTATATTGACCATTCATTTTCAGCTAAAGGACTTATAATATCCTCTTTACAATGAATTAAACTTTATATCTAAGATGAAACTAAATTCAGTTTCTTCTACAGTTTGTAATAAATCAACTTCAGATATAATATCTAGACTCATAGCTGATAAATTCACAAAAAGATTATAATCTTTAACTAAATTAGAAATCAATTCTATCAATGAAATTGAATGAATTTGTTCAAGGTTATCATATAAAATAATACCTATTTCTAAGATAAAGATACTTCCTTGTTGTTGATTAATAAATAGATAAGCTGTAAGTTGAATAAGTAAAAATTGCATGATATTATTAATTCAATCTAATATGTGAGATATAATAATATATATATATGATTCTAAAAAGAGAAATAATTAGCAAATAAAATTTTTCAAAAAGAACTTAAAAAGTGAAATTTAAAATAATATAATAAATCATTGAAAACTTTGATAAAAAATAAATGGATTATTTATAATAGTTAAATATGTTACAACACAATTTAAAAAAATTCTATCTAAGAAGAAATTTGTAAAGAATCAATATATTCTATTACTATTTTGAATTCAAATAAAATTTGTCTTTTGTGATATAATTTTAATTATGCAACTTTGAATATTTTCTTAAGTAACTGTTCTTGTTGATTTCACAATTTATATGCTCCATTCTGATAGATCTCATGAATGTAGTGCCATTCTACTTTTCATTGTGGCTTGAATTTATTTCTGTATTTAATGTGTTATTTTATATTATAAATTAGAACTTTGTCTCCAATTTCAAACTGTTCTATCTTTCATATTTTTTATCATATCTTTCTTTAGACTTTTCTTGTGACAAATTTATATTTTATTTAGTATTATTAATTCATTTAGGTAAATAATTAATAAATATAAATATTTTGTCTAATAATTGTTCTTCAATTATAACTTCTTTTTTAAGTGTTATTTCAAACTGTAATTCTATTAGTAATTTAGCTTCTCTTTAATATATTAGGAAAAATAGTTTGTATCTTGTAATATTATTTTGTAATATTTTATAAGCAAATAATGCTGCAGGAATATAATTATTTCATTCTTTTTCTAAACTAATGATAAGTTTTTGTAGCATTATTAATAAAGTTCTATTAAATTATTTTACAATTCTGTTTATTTGTGGCCCTGTAAAAAAAATAAAAGACAAAAATTCAGTTTTTTAGTTCTGGAAAATCATGGGTTTTGTTAAAAATTTCCAGATTAAAATCTGATTAAAATCTGATAAAAATCTGCTTAAAAATGAAAAAAATAGAGAAAATAAAAAAAATATCCAGTAACTTTGGGACGCGATATCTCGCGAACCACAAATCCAATCTGGACAAAAATATCACCATTTCATTCGACTAGTCTTTGCAAATCGAATGGTGATATTTTTATTCAGATTGGATCTGTGGTTTACGAGATATCACGTTCCACAGTTACCAGATATTTTTTATTTTCCCCATTTATTTAAAAATGGATTAATATCTTATCACTCACTTAACCAAATTGGATAAAAATAAAGCCACATATTTACTGAAATTTAGTGGAATAGTGGCTGAATTTGGCCTGGTGAATCATGATATATCATGCTTCAAATTAAGTATTCCAAATTAAAATAAGTTTTTTTTTCAAAAAATCAAAATTAATTCAACAACTTTGAAACATATCTTATGAATTATCAAACCATTTTTGTAAAAATTACTACTATTGAATTCACCAAAACTAGGTGAATTTAATGATAATATGTTTGGAAATAATGCATTTATTTTAATTTTGAACAAAAAAATTAATCTGATAACTTTGAAACATGATATCTTATGATTCACTGATCCAATCCAGACCAAAATATCACTATTCAATTTGTCAAGACTAGACAAATTGAATGATAATATTTTGGTCTGGATTTTTAATCAGATTTTTATCAAATTTTAATTCAGAAATTTGTTAACAAAACTGATGATTTTTCAGTATCATGAGTTCCTGAATTTAGATAGATAATTTCATGACATAGTTGTTCAACCAATATTTATTTCAGTAAGTTAATATTTCAATCCAGTTGCTTTAGGATCACAGCGTTATACAACTTTTTCTATGCTATTAATATAATAGGATAGATAACACTACTATTAATAAATATCTTCTTTGTAATACAATACTGATATTCTATAAAAATTTGATTAAGTGTCCAGTAATGTATAAAGTAAGTATTATAACAAGATTAATAATTATAAAATTAACTAATATACAATTTCATTAAATAATAAACAAGAAACAGTTTATTGAAATCGCCAGCGTGTAGGGGGAATCGTCCGACCACGTGATTTCCGGACCAAATGATCTGCATTATTTGGTCCGACA